TGCAATATTCCTGCTTCTTGGCAGGGGGTTGGACTGGATGGCCCATGAGGTCTCTTCCAACTCTTTGATTCTATGATTCTATGATTCATGGACCAGCCCACGCCAGAGCTCCCTGTTGGCCGTCACCACCCCCAGCTCCTTCAAGGTCAATCCAGTCACCATCCATCTTGCCCTTAGTCGGCCCCTCTTCCTTTTTCCTTCCATTTTCCCCAGCATAATTGTCTTCTCTAACCTTTCCTTTCTTCTCATGATATGGCCAAAGTACTTCATGTTTGTCTCTAATATCCTTCCCTTCATTCAGCAGTTGGGCATCATTTCCTGAAGTATGGACTGGTTGGATCTTCTCACAGTCCAAGGCACTCTCAGAACTTTCCTCCAGCACCACAGTTCAAAAGCATCTATCTTCCTTCGCTCAGCCTTCCCTAAGGCCCAGCTCTCACATCCGTAGGTTACTACAGGGAATACCACTGCTTTAACTCTGCGGATCTTCATTGCCAGTGTGATGTCTCTACTCTTCACTATTTTATCGAGATTGGTCATTGCTCTCCTCCCAAGAAGTAAGCGTCTCCTGATTTCCTGGCTGCAGTCTGCGTCTGCAGTAATCTTTGCACCTAGAAATACAAAGTCTGTCACTGCCTCCACGTTTTCTCCTTCTATTTCCCAGTTGTCAATCATTCTTGTTGCCATAATCTTGGTTTTTTTATGTTTAGCTGCAACCCAGCTTTTGCGCTTTCTTCTTTCACCTTGATTAGAAGGCTCCTCAGCTCCTCCTCACTTTCGGCCATCAAAGTGGTGTCATCTGCATATCTAAGGTTGTTAATGTTTCTTCCAGCAATTTTCACCCCAGCCTTGCATTTCATCCCCGCACATCGCATGATGTGTTCTGCATACAAGTTGAATAGGTTGGGTGAGAGTATACAACCCTGCCGTACGCCTTTCCCAATCTTGAACCAATCTGTTGTTCCATGGTCAGTTCTTACTGTTGCTACTTGGTCCTTACACAGATTCCTCAGGAGAGAGACATGGCTTAATTCTAACATAGCTTATTTACTATCTCCTTTCCAAGGCCCTCAGGTCCGAAAGGGATGACTTGAGTTGATATTTTTAAAAAGGAAGAAGTGTATTCCCAGCAGCCACAATTAAATGATATTCATTATATGACTTTTCTTTAATTAGGTTTCTATTTACTGGCAGCAACTTCCACTGAAATCATTATATTGTGATTTTTTTTCATTTTATTGTGTTTTAAGAATAGATTTGGATCGTTACTTGCTGCTCTAAGTCATGCCTAAGGGTCTAAAAGACAGTTGTTTTCAAACAAATAAATACTTTAAACAAGGCTTGTAGCTCTCATATTTGAAACACACTTTGTTATTATATTTTCTGCAGCAACCCCCAGTCCATGCTATGCACTGTGTATATGTGTGTGTGTTGGTAAAAGAGTGTTGTTAGAAAGGCAGTATCATTAACCGGTTAAAATATGCTTTATGTTGTAAAAACTCACAGTAAAGGTTGTTTCCAATATCAACAGAAATTTGGTTGTTCCCGGTGTGAAAACAGTTGAACAGAATAATATTTTCATGACTAGCACTGAGATAATTGATCAGTTTTAAATGGTAAAAAGGAAGCTGATTATATGGTGTGGAAGTTTTATATATAGCTTATGTGGAAATTACATACTGCAGGTTGTTCACTGCTAACATAAATTATATGGTCTAACAACTGAAATAAGTAGAAGAGGTGTGGGTGGAGAGCTGCAGCCTGCCTTGGAAACTTGAATGCCCAATTCCCATTCTTTCTGATTAGCTTGTTAGCTTGCTTGGAAAAATAGCAATTTTTTTCATTAACGATAATGATGATGATGATGATGATGATGATGATGATGATGATGATGATGATGATGAATTTATTACCCGCCTCTCCCAGTGGCTCAAAGCAGATACATAATTAAAACAAGATATAAAACACTATTGAAAGATATACAAGATACACAGAGTTAAAATACAAATTAAAATCCACTAATAAAATGCAGATTAAAATTCACAACTTAACATTGACCAGGTAGGCCTGGTCTTAAATGTGTCTTAAAATCTGACAGCTCATCTAGCTGTCAAATCTCTTTTGGCAGGCCATTCCACAGTTTTGGGACGGACAATAAAAAGGTCCTCGAGGGTGACGGTCACCAGCTGTGTCTTGGCGGGTTGGAGTAGATGCCCCCCAGAGGACCTAAGTGTGGACGGTATGTTGAATTAGAGAAGGCAATCCTGTAGGCAACCTGGGCCCAAATCATGTAGGGCTTTAAAGATTCAAACCAACACTTTATACTTTGCCTGGAAACTAACTGGCAACCAGTGAAGTGACTTTAGTATAGGGGTGATATACTCTAGAGCTGGGACAGCATACTTCTTAGCGGTATACAGAGTGGACATCACTGTTTCAGGACCAATCTGAACTTCGTCTGAGTACAAAAACCTGAGGAGGGCGAGGAAGGCGGCGGGCTCGACGTCGGGCAGCTCGATCTCGGCGGAGGTGGTGGCCATCCCCCTGTTGAACATGGCATCGAAGACGGCGCTGCCGGCGGCCAGGACGAAGCGGTGTGTGGGGATGCGCTGCTGGACCGGGCCGGGCGCCCCTGCCCCTACCCCTGCCAGGCCTGCCCCTCCGCACGGCCCTGCTTTGCCCACCACGAAGCGTACGTTGCTCAGCAGCTCGTTGGCGAAGAGGAAGGCGAAGCGCTCCTGCAGAGACCACTTCGTGGCCTTCCAGTTGTACACCGGCTCCCGCTACACCACCACCGGTGACGACGAGGCCGACGACGAGGAGGACGATGAAGAAGCCGCTCCCGCTTCAGGCCCCGGCACTGCTGTTTTCGACGCTGCCTCAAGGCCGCCCGCGGCCGCCATTTTGATATACTCACTCCTGGATGTTTTTGTGATCAATCTGGCTGCTACGTTTTGAACTATTTGGAGTTTCCAAACTTGGTACAGAGGTAGTCCAATGTAAAGGGCATTGCAGAAGTCCAACCTTAAGATTACCAGCATGTGCACCACTATCTTTAGAACCTCGAATTCCAGGAAGGCGCATAGTTGGCATATCAGCCGAGAGTGGTAGCATCCGCTCCTTGTCAGTGACATCGGCAGCACAGCAAGGCAGGAACAGACCAATCACAGACTATAAACTACTTTATTTTACAGCTATATACATTAGAAGCTACTTAACACTCATCACATCGTAAATTTGCTTCTTTACCGTCTGACCGTAACATTGCGAACTCACTAACTATTATCAGTACTAGTCCACACCTCTTGCATTCCAGAGTGACGTATGAAGTACGACGCACGACGCTGCGTCCATTTGTTCTATACATTTGATTTATGACCTCTCTAGGAATGCCATTCCCTCCATGGTTCAGTTCACTCTTTCCACATAGGAATACATTACACTCAGCACATAGCTACTGCATTTTAAACATACATACATATATACATACATACTTTGAAATCTACATTATAAATTGCAAACAGCTTCAACACTCCTGACCATTGCATCAACTTGGGCTGACATTTGGAGAGATGGATACAGGAACAAATTCTTCCAAGAGGAGTGTAACCTGATCCAGACCTAATTGGCACACCACCAATCCCTAGGTTAAGATCCTTAATGGCAAGCATCTTTGTTTTGACTGGATTCAGTTTCAATTTGTTTTTCTTCATCCAGCCCATTACTTCCTCCAGGCATCCATTCAGAGGAGACACACTATCCTTAGCCAAATGTGTTTTGGAAGGCATGGAAAAATATATTTAAGTGTCATCAGCATACTGATAACACCCCACCCCATGACTCCAGATGATTTCTCCCAGGAGTTTCATGTAAATAGTAGAAAGCATTAGGGAAAGAATTAAGGAGGGCTGCAGAAACGCACACAGGAGGTGAGGAGAATGCCATGTTGGAGTTGTTTTAATTATGTAATGTAGATTTCAAAGTATGTATGCATGTATGTTTAAAGTGCAATGCTATGTGCCAAGAGTATTCCTGTGTGGAAAGAGTTAACTGTACCATGAAGGGAACTGCATTCATAGAGAGGTCATAAATCTAAGTGTATAGAGCAATGGGTGCAGCGTCGTGCCACATACGTCATACGTCACTCTGGAATGAAGGAGGTGTGGACTAGTACTGATAAAAGCATGTTCACGATGTAGCTACCGAATTGAGAGGAAGCAGTTTTACAATGTGCTACTGTTTATAGCTGTAAATAAAGTAGATTATAGCCTAAAAGGTGACTGTGATGATCATGTTCCTTGCCTTGCTGTGCGGCAGATGCCACTGACATGCCATACCTCACACTAGACATATAAACCCACATAGAATACAGAGAGGTGTAATGGTCACAGTCCTGGATTACAACTCTGGAGATCAGGTTTCAAATCCCTGACTTTAGACAAGTCACATTCTCTCAACCACAGAAGAAGGCAAGCACAAACCCCTTCTGGACAAATTTTGCCAAGAAAACCCCAATCTAGATTTGCCTTCAAGTTCAGAAGCAACTTGAAGACATACAACCATAAACTTTCCATGGCAGTAGAAAGAGGAGGCAGCCTCCCTCAGTTTGAATTCAGTGAATTGAGCAGTGGAAGAAATGAACTTTTTCCCTTTTCCAGGAGCTGCCCACCCCTGCAGTAAAAAAGCGTAATTCGAGATGCTATTACACTACTTTCCCACTTGATAATATTACTAACATGGGATGTCACACAGAAAGCAAATCAATTATATTTTCTAAATTGATGAAATTTTAGAAGTTATCAAGTTGAGACTTGTACCTGAAAAATCCCCACGACCTACAATATGCAGTACCTCTTAAAAGCTCTGGATCCTACTCCTCTCCCGCTTCAGACCTTTATAGAGCAATTAACTAAAATGTGTTGTCATTTCAAACTATTAGTAAATTGCCAAGGAGGGACCAAAAAGGGTATCCCATACATAAGAAAGGCACTTCTACTCACACTTGTGGGAAAGGAGGACATCAAAAGAGTCTGCCCATCTTGTAGCTTCTTCTGTTGATAATCTTCTATGAGAAAGAAACAGACAATCAAGGACTGTGATCATGGGGTAAATGTGGGGTTGTTTTTAAAAGTGGGGGGAGGGGGGATAGGGACTTGTATGTAAAAACCAAAGCCTAGAAATCTCCATTGCCTGTTTTAGTAGTGGTATTTACCTAGTTGTTTATCCAATATTTCACATCATTCAAAGGTTTAAATTTGCCATGGCTTCACCACATATAACTCACAAATGATTTCTGTGTAATATGACATAAATCTTTTATTTCTCCTTTTGCTACTCTGTTTATAAATTAACTTTTGTGATAGGATTATAGCTCACATCTTATTTAACCAATTCTTTATTGATAAATGTCCCTGTGTTCTCCAAGATTTGACTATTTTTTGCTTTGATGCACACAATTCATATTGACGTAACTACTCCCACTATTACACCCAAAAGTACCTTGAGAGGCCATTATCCCTGTGGACATTGTCAATGTTGTTCACAATCTTGGAAGACTAAGGAGGCATATAATTAAAGAAACAAAGTGGGCACTACCCTTAAACATTTTTCCAATTGCAAGAGTAGCAATGCCATTTATCTTTTCACGTGGGATTGTGATCTGTGGTACGTTGGTAAGAAGACTAGACCCCTAAGAATCAGAATCTCAGAACGTAAATCCAGAATTAAATGTCTTTCTACAGAATCCTCTTTATATTCACACTTTACACAATATAATCATTCACCCAATTGGGTTGTTATAGGTTTTTTCGGGCTATATGGCCATGTTCTAGAGGCATTTTCTCCTGACGTTTCGCCTGCATCTATGGCAAGCATCCTCAGAGGTAGTGAGGTCTGTTGGAACTAGGAAAATTGGGTTTATATATCAGTGGAATGCCCAGGGTGAGACAAAGAACTCTTGTCTGCTGGAGTTAGGGAAAAGTTAGGGAAATTTTTTAGAGTTCTTATTTTGTGTATTTTGACATCCAACAAGTATTCTGGGATAGTGTGTAGTATGAAGTTTTACCTTGGCATTTTAATGATGATATTTATTAGGGCTGGGTAACCACGGAAAAATTTGTTTCTAAACTCGATTCGTTTTTAAGGGGTCCATCACGTTTCGTTTCTTTAAAGAATTCCGAAATTTTCCTTTTAAAAATTTCGAAATATACGAAATTTCGTAAATTTTCGAATCGATTCGTTAATGGCGGACGCGATTGCGCAATATGCTAAAAAAACCTCCAAATATGCTAAAAATATGCTGAAAAAACCTCCAAATGGGACAGGGGGAATTTCTGAAGCTTCCCTCTCCCTCTGTTGTTGACTGTTGGTGTGATAAAACAAACAACAACTATAAAACTTGCACCAGGCATGCAAAAATAATTACGAAACAATTACGAAACAATTTCGAAACAATTACGAATAATTACGAAATAAATTGAAAAAATTGTTTCTAATCTATTTAACTCCTTACACTATTCCAAAATGGCTCAATATCGGATCGTAAGCTAATTTAAATACGAATTAATAACGAATTACGAAATTAACGAACGAAACCGCCCAGCCCTAATATTTATAATTACCTTTAACTTAATCAAGTTCTAATGTATGTTAGTTCACTATTACAGGAGTCTTAGGATAGTGATTAGTGTCTATTTGTATACTTTTTCATTTTGTCTTTACTGTTGATATGGTCAGTGGACTAATCAATAAACTTTGATTGCTTGCTATAAAGATTAGGCCTTACTTGAACCCTTGGTTTCCAAAACTATACAAACTATTTTCTTCACTCCCTTCAAGAGCAAAAACCAAGGGCAAATAAGTCCATGTTGCAGGCAAGGAAAAGAGGGAAATGAGAAGTAAGAGGATGACTACTCACTTCAAAGCCCGGTTAGGTTTGTCTGGCAAGATGGCTGTGAAATCGCTACATGAGTCCGATTTGTGAGACAGGCAGCCAAGGCGAGTCCTCATCCCTCTGTTTCTGCAGTCAGTCATACAAGGTAGGAGAGCAAATGGGAGAGAAGGAGAAGAAAGGAGAATTAGCCCCACAACTTAAGTCAACAAAAGACCCTTTGACAAACATTGACCAGTGCCAAATGCCTTCAGGAAGACTACAAGCTGGATAAGTAAGCCACTCCCCTACTTTTCCCACCACAGAAACTGGAATTTTTGTTATGCAGTTTTTGCACTGTGAGAATTACGTGCCACCCTATTTGGAGGGTTGTGCAAATTTGTCAAGCAGGTGGAATTGTTTAAAATTAAAATGTGAATAATGAATAAAATGCCAGGATTAATATACTCTGGTTATTCAATTCCATTTTTGTCTATAATGTTTGTGCTCAAGAACTGAGTTACAAAAATATCTTAATTTTTAAGTACGTTTACAATTTTTTATTGGACCACATTTATAGGTGTTGTGGGTTGCAAGCGGCCTATGGGCGGTAGGTTAGACAAGCCTGATTTACAGGGTCCCTTCCAATTGTATTGTTAAAGACCCTAAATTGGGTCTTCTTAGGTCCACATCACGGGAACACGTAAGGAAGGAGACAGTCCCCAAAAAGATTTTAAAAAACAAGGTTTATTTTAGTTTCTTCATGAAGAAGAAGGACAGCCTGGCAGCATACGCAGATGCTACCCTTCAAGTGACTGCTGCACCCCTCCTCTTTTTCTGCTGACTTTTATACTCAAGTAATAGGTCATGGAAAGTATTCTCTTTCCAGCCTCTCTCCCTTTACCTCTTAATGGAAAGTACCTTCTTGTACCTGCAGACTCTGCGCTTAACCACAACCTTTGAACTTAACCACAACACAACTTCCGACCTCTACATGTCATATCTTGTTTCTTAAAAACATTTTCTTCCCTGTTGCTCCTCTTCTGCAGAGAAAGGGTATGTTTCTCTTTTCATGTTAATTTCATTCAAAGCCCCGTGCTTAGCATTTGCAAATTTCACTCAAAGACCCTTTCATTATGGTCCCTCGCCCTTTCTCTTCTAGCCGGGACTGTGGCGCAGCTGGCTGGGAGTCAGCTACATTAAGATTACTACTGAACGAAAGGTCATGAGTTCAAAGCCAGCCCGGGTCGGAGTGAGCTTCTGGCCAATTTGTGTAGCTTGTTGTCGACTTTTGCAGCCCGAAAGACAGTTGCATCTGTCAAGTAGGAAAATTAGGTACCACTTATGTGGGGAGGCTAAAGTGAGTGACTACATATGTGGACTGAGTTGAACATGATTTTACCTTGGTGATTTGGTATATATGTATTTTATCTATATGTATTTTAATCTTGTATTGTTGTATGATGTTTTAACTTGTATTAGTAGCATTGAATCCTTGCTGTAGGAGGTGAGAAGATCGGAGGTGAGAAGATCTATAAAAGTTTGAAATAAAAAAATAAAAAAATAATTTAACTAATTTACGAGGCCATAAAAATATCCAACAAGCCTGCAAAGAATGAGGAAGTACTTCATCAGTGTCACAGATGGACAGTGAAGCGACAGCTCCCCTGGTGGCCAGAAAAAGTTGGAATGTTAAATATTTATTTATTTATTTACTTACTTTACTTGTATACCGCAGTTTTTCAGCCTAACCGGCGACTCAACGCGGTTTACAACAAGGGTAAAATCAATCACAATATACAATTTAAAACACAAAAGCACAATATACAGTATTACACAACAATAACAACACAATGCTTCTCATCACTAAAATCATGATCCAAATTCGTCGTCCATATTTCCGTTCCTGTGATCGTCACATTCATTGCACTGATTAACCAAAGGCCTGTTCGAACATCCAAGTTTTTAATCTTCTACGGAACACCATTAGCGAGGGAGCTGATCTTACCTCCATGGGAAGGGCGTTCCACAGCCGAGGGGCCACCACAGAAAAGGCCCTGTCTCTCATCCCCGCCAGCCGCACTTGTGAAGCAGGCGGGATAGAGAGCAGGGCCTCCCCAGAAGATCTCAGGGTCCTGGCGGGCTGATAGACAGAGATACGTTCGGATAGGTAACTTGGGCCAGAACCGTTTAGGGCTTTAAAGGCCAACGCCAGCACTTTGAATTGAGCCCGGTAGCAAATCGGCAGCCAGTGGAGCTGGTGTAGCAGAGGAGTTGTATGCTCCCTGCGCTCCGCTCCTGTTAGTATCATGGCTGCCGAGCGTTGGACTAGCTGGAGCTTCCGAGCCGTCTTCAAAGGCAACCCCACGTAGAGAGCGTTGCAGTAGTCTAAACGGGATGTAACCAGAGCGTGGACTACCGTGGCCAAGTCAGACTTCCCAAGGTACGGGCGCAGTTGGCGCACGAGTTTTAACTGTGCAAATGCTCCCCTGGTCACCGCCGAAACCTGAGGTTCCAGGCTCAGCGCTGAGTCCAGGATCACACCCAAACTGCGAACCTGCGTCTTCAGGGGGAGTGCGACCCCATCCAACACAGGCTGTAACCCTCTGACTGTCTGTCTATATGTGTTGTATGTCTATGGCATTGAATGTTTGCCTTTATATGTACATTGTAATCCGCCCTGAGTCCCCTGCGGGGTGAGAAGAGCGGAATATAAATACTGTAAATAGATAAATAATAAATAAATAATGCAATACTGCATATGTACCCCCCATTCCCTCTTTCTTTGTTACATGAAGGGACCAATCAGCAATAACATTACTTCTCACAAAAGCTTTCCAAATTGCATCGCCAGTTGTTTGGCTTGTTCTAGATAAGTGAATGGAGCAGAGGCACCCCAAACTGAAAAAAATATGGGTAGGCTGCACTTCTTTATTAGGCAAAATATGAAAGCAGCCATTAAGCAGATGATTTTGAGAGGGCAGCAAATGTAAAGTTATATAATGTATTATTATGTCATTTTTATTCCCATAGAGAGCCTGCTGTGGCATTTTATTAACTTGGGTGCCCAAATAGGATTTTATCACACAAACCTATCATTTTATTTATTTATTTATTTATTTATTTACAGCATTTATTTACCGCTTTTCTCACCCCCGGGGGGCAGGCCCGTAGCCAGGATTTTGTTTAGAGGGGGGGGCTGAGTCTGAGTGAAAGAGGGTCTACCCTAGCAAACCTTTTGTATTGTTACCCCAATACCCCCATGCATATGGGATATATTGAGCATGGTGATCAGATCATGATATGAATAAACATAACAGTTTAAATAATGTACCAGTAAGGCCTTCTCGCGGACCACCATGAGAATTTCGGGGGCTTATGAAGCCCCCCAAGCCCCCCCCCCCCCCGGCTACATGCCTGCCCGGGGGGGGGGGGGAGATACAAAGTGGTTTACACATAAATGGCAAAATTCAATGCCTTGCATTGGGCACCTGACATGATGCCAATGCATAACAGTTACAATAAAAACCACAATTAACATAAATCATAAATTAAACAAAACATCAACAGCATTAAAACAATAAAACAGTCTCGTCAGTCGTATTGCCATTCCAGTCTATGTCTCTCTAAAACTCTACATACATCTGTTGTCCGAAGGCCTGGTCCAAAACCATGATTTTAATTTCTTTCTAAAAGCCAGGAGGGAGGGAGCAGATCTTACCTCATTTGGGAGTGTGTTCCAAAGGTGAGGGGCCACCCTTGAGAAGGCCCTGTCTCTCGTCCCCGCCAGACGCATTTGCGCTGTTGATGGGAGCGAGAGCAGGGCCTCCCTGGATGTTCTTAGATTTATTTATTTTTGTCGTGTCAGGAACAACCTGAGAAACTGCAAGTCACTTCTGGTGTGAGAGAATTGGCCATCTGCAAGGACGTTGCCCAGGGGACCCCCGGATGATCTGATGTGTTATCATCCTTGTGGGAGGCTTCTCTCCGCATGAGGAGCTGGAGCTGATAGAGGGAGCTCATCCGCCTCTCTCTGGATTCGAACCTGTGACCTGTTGGTCTTCAGTCCTGCTGGCACAGGGGCTTAACCCACTGCGCCACCGGGGGATCGTAATCTTAGATTATGAGATGGGGTGGATGCGTTCGTACAAGTAAGCTGGGCCAGAAACGTATATCATCTCATTGCAATCATGATGTTTAAAGAAACAGAAATAGACCATTATTAGAATAATCACTTTCACACCTCACTACAATTGTGCAATGATGACAGTTCGTTGATGTAAATTCCTGTGGTCTGTTTTCTGCACGGCTTCACTTGCTACACAGTGTCCATACACAGTCCTAAGTTATTTGGGCACCCGAATTAATATAAATGCCACAGCAGTCTCTCTTTGGGAATAAAAATGAGATAAGAATACATTATATAATGTTACATTTGCTGCCCTTTCAAAATCATCTTCTTAATGGCTGCTTCTACATTCTGCCTAATGAAGAAATGCAGCCTACCCAATTATGCACTCATTCCTTCACTTTGCAATATTGAAACGGTAGCGGAATGACATAATTGCACAAGAAAGAGTGACAGATGAACAGTGATCTTAGAGTGATTTATGAGCTTTTCCCACCAACAAAGACATAATTCTCACGCAACACAGAAGAGATATTCTAAGGAAGCCCCTCGGGTGCTGGACGAGTGCCTGGCCGCTGTGGCTGTCTGGATGAGGACAAATAAGCTGAGGATCAATCCTGACAAAACAGAGATCCTCCAGGTCGATCGTAAGCCGGATCGGGGTATAGGGTAGCAACCTGTGCTTGACGGGGTTGCACTCCACCTAAAGTCATAGGTCCGCAGCTTGGGTGTCCTCCTAGACTCATCGCTAATGCTTGAAGCGCAGGCGTCGATGGTGGCTAGGAGGGTTTTCGCACAATTGAAGCTCGTGCACCAACCGCAACCGTACCTCGTGAAGTTGGATCTGGCCATGATGGTCCACACCTTAGTTACCTCCAGATTGGACTACTGCAATGCACTCTACATGGGGTTGCCCTTGAAGACAGCCCGGAAATTTCAGTTGGTCCAACGGGCAGCAGCCAGACTGTTAACTGGAGTGAATTACAGGGTGCGGTCAAACCACCTCTTCAAGGAGCTCCAC